TTTACTCTGTCTGGTTTATATTTGAGTTCATATTCACATCCGGGTTTGACATTAAATCATTTTAATTCATTATCATCTTAATTGATTAAGGTAAAAGTTTAATCAATGGTTAATTGTTAATCAACTGATCATCATTAGGTATCATTTTTTACAATTCCCTTAGTTATTTAATCATTAATCGTTTCAATCAAATCAAAGTTGATACTTTTTCGTGGTGATTTTGGTTAATCATTGAGATTAAATTGAACTGAGTTAGATTGGGAGTAAATTTAATCTTGATTGTAACAAATTGTGTCTCTTAATCATTAGTACATGATTTAGGACAATTGTTGATTTGAAAGATTAATTTTTGATAAAAAAATATAATCATTACTTTTGATTTGATTTGATTTGATTGGGAAAATTTTTCAACTTGAATGATCATTATACTAATTTTTTTTCACAATTGGATTAATTGTCCTTACACAATATAAACTAATCTAATCCTAATCAACAACGATCAAACTTAAACTTTCATCAATTAGATTGATTAATTATTTGATTAGGTAATAATTAAAGTGAAAGTGTAAAAAAAAGTGCAACTGATTGTTAAACGAGACTCTGATTAGCTCTTGATTGAACAATTAACAATTAGATTGATTGAGAGGCTTTTTTTCATCCTTTGATTGTGAGGGATGTTAATTGTTGTTTTAATATACACATTATGTTGATGGGAATTAAATCAAAAGGATTGATTAGTTAACTAACTGCTTGACCGATTTAACCATGATAATCATTTCATATCACTAACGATAAATCATCTTAATCGTAATCACAATTAAAATGATCAACACTTTTTTTCCAGGTACATGAAATCTCATCAAATTAATGAACATTAAGTTAATCATCAAGGATGATAATCAAATTGTTGTAACTCTCTGAATCTCATTGAGATAATTTGATTCACATAAATCACAATTAAGTCAAAACAATCAATTCATTTATTATTACAAAAACAAAACAAGAAAACAGATCAACCCAAACAACAAGCAAAAAAAATCTTTAAATCAACTAATCACTAAATTGATGTTTATCAAAACAAACCAACAATCATCAATTCATTAACAATCAACAATTTGATTGATCAAACTAATCCATTAATCAAACAGAAATCAATTTAATTGTGAAAACTAAACAAAATTAACTATTAAACTGAAACCTAAAAGTTCAAGTTAAAAACAATCTAATTGTTTACTCGTAGTAGTTTTTTTTTCATTCACAATATTTACTAATTACCTTTGAAATTAGCCAATCATATGTTTTAATTATGATTTAATTAAGGTCACCCTGTTGGTCAACAATTATGTTACTTATTTGATTACTATTCCCGGAAGTTTGTCAACAATTTAAAAGTCAAAATTGTAAGTGGGTGTTGAGAATTGAGTTTATTTTTAACTTTCAACGAAAACGAAATGATTGATTTATTTTTATCTTTTTAAATTCATAACAATTTATTATCATTATTATTGAAACGTATATCTTAGCACGTATTTCCGGTTCCTGTAGTAACCAAAAAGCAAGTTATCAAACAGGTAAAGTAACAATCAAGATATTGTAATTAACTAATTAAACTGTTTTCCCTTTCAATTGAATCCTGTTGATGATTAGATTTGTTTTTTTTTGTTTCAGTTAATTGCTAATGAAATATGATTACAACTACGATTTGATATTTTGATTAATTGTGAAAGTAAAGTTTGTCCAAGTTTATTTTTAATTGTTAATGGTTAAGGCTCATTGGAATCATTTGGCCAATCAATTAATATTTTTTTTCTTCTCTTGTTAGTTAATCATTTGATTAATAATAATGATAAACACAACCGAAACTAATTAACTACAACAATTTAACTGTTATTTTAACATTGAAATATTGTTTCAATTGTTTGTAATTAAAACTTGAAACTATTGATAATTAAAAAAGAGGGCGAAATTTTTTTGTTTCTTGTTTCAATCAATCAATTAAATCAATTGAATTTGATGAAATTAATGATAATCAGGGCAAGAATTATTATTTTCCCTTTTAATCACTTTATCCTCATCCTTAATTTGCATTTAATCAACATCATTATCGTTGAGTGATTAAGTAATTTACCTTTTGCTTGCCATTAACTTATTATCAAAACTTGAAAAGTTTTATCATTTTTTCACTCAAATTAATATCTAAATTTACATTTATTTAAAATTAGCCTTAGGGTTAATTAAATCATGATTTAGTCCAATAAGGTAGAGAGGGTTAAAGACCGATTGTCATTTTAATCAACAAAAAAAAATTACTATCAGCAATTAACAAATTGTGCGACAAATTCACATTTAAATTTATCCTCAGATTATAAAGGTTAACAGGAAAAACGAAAAATTTTCATGATTAAGTTAATTATCTTCCAATAGTTATAATATAAATTCACCAACAATTAACTGTCTCCATGTAGTGTAAATTTAGCGATGATTAAGTTATTAATCATTAATTGATAATCTATTGATTTCTTTATTAACATGTACTGATTTTTGTTACTGACGTTTTTGTGATTTGGTTAATTGTGATTTCCATTGAAAATTGTATTAAGCAAATTGTGTTGATTTAAATTTTTTACTCTTGCAGTTGAATGATAATTTTAATCTTCCTGTTTTTATAATCATTTCCCCTTTAAATTGTAGACACAAGAGACAAATTATCATTGTAATCATCATAATCATCAGTATTTAGCATTTAAATTATGATTACAATTTAGTTACAGTAATAAAGTATTGGATTGATGATAAAAATGACTAAATTAAATCAACGGTTTCCAATAAGCATTTATTTATATTATTGAGGTAACAATTTGAATTTGATTGTTGGTATTTAGGTCAACATGGTGGTCAAATCAAGGCTGATAAATAACCAAGATAAATGATCAGTTTTAACAATTTAACTGTAAACTAATTTATTGGCCAACAATTAGTTAACTATAATAAACTATCAACAAAAGTGTAACCAAGTTTCAAAAGGTTTTCATTGACTTTATTGGTTTAATTGTTGATTTATTTATGATTGTGATAATTTGATTGCAAATTATATTTAATCAGTAGCAATTATTAATTCAGTTCCGTTTTTAATCATCATCAAATGCTGTTGATTGTTGTGCTTTTTGTGGTGACTATTATTTATTTTTTTTTTTGCTTTCTATTCAGTCAATTTGTTTATCTTGATTTTTGATTGTTGTTGTTGTTGCTTGATTGTTAACTGACCAGATAGAAATTAAATGAGTCGGAATTTGATAGGTAAGTTAATATTTAGTTAATAATTGTTAATGATGATTAAGGTAATGATAATAATTCCTTTCGATTTCAGGTCAAGAGGCTTGAAAATTAAGCTTAACGGGTTTCGTTCATTTCGTTCATTGATATTAACTCATTTTCTTTTAATTACTCTTCGTAATTCAATTAAAAATTTTACTCAATCACCTTCATGATTTTTATGATAGCTTGACGATTACATTTTTAGTTACTTTTTAATAATAAATTAACTAATTAATTTGACATTGATTGGATTCTAATTTGCAAAGGTAAGTAAAAAACTTTATGTGACAAACAAATTGTCACATTAATTAAAAAGTTTACAGACTAAATTAGCAAATTACAGTATACTCTTGATATTTCAAGTAATAATTTCTACTTTCCAATCAAATTAAAGCTGACAGATGATAATAATCAGTTAATTGTCAAGAAAGTTTCGAGTTGAAAGTTGGTTAGAAATAAAAAATTTCGAAGTCACTGCTTCCATCTATCGGGTAAATGGCTGAACTAAAGTTCAGAGCGCGAAATTATTTCAACAATTAAATAGATTAATTTGGAATGAAAGAAAACAATTAAGTGATCAATGTGAATTCCTAATTAAAAACCAACTTCAAATAACCAATCAAAGTAAAAATCTATCAGGTTTCATGAGAATAGAATCAATCTTGGCGACAAATGAATCGAAGGCAATTAAAATTGGATATTAATCCAATTCCATAACAATTTGATCCTAATTGTTAACCATTGCTATTATTATGATAATCCGATCTTTAAATGGCAATTAAATAGAGATTATCTGTTAAGAAGTAAAAATTAGAAAAACAAATTAGAACTGAATCAAAATCTTGTCGTTACTGAAAAAATTTCTCTACTGTGATTAACTTTACACCAACAACAATTAATGCGAACAGTAAATCGTCAAAATAATTAATAGGCTAATTGAACTTCGTCCATGCTCATAGTATTTAATTGTTCAACGATTTGAGATGATTTACTTGAAGTGAATTCTTATTACCCAAATCAGTTAATTAGACATTTTAATTTCACGGTTAAGTTAATGTAACTAATGAAAATGTGATTATTTCTCTTACAATTGATGATTAATCTAATTTATCAACTTCTAGAATTAATTGTAACTCATTTGTCAATTGAATTTCCTTTTCATTGTTTTTACTTTGGTGAGAAAATTTGTCCGACATGGTTAGAGCCTTGATAGTAACTCGAGGACACATCGAACCGTTAATAGCAAATTCTAATTGAGAACAATTAAATCTTGTCTAATTTGCAACCTTTTCAACGGAAGAGTGAGACTATAACTCACTTCGATGGACGATCATTAATGACATTTCCTTACTATCGTTAATTGTTTCAGTTTAAAAGTTAATTTGTTACAATTTCATTCTCAAATCACTTGAGATTAGATAATTGTTAATTCAATGGAAAAGTATAAGAGGCGAAAGGGGAAGAATGAAGAAAAAAAAATCTAAAGGATAACAATCAATTTTCGAGGGCAAGAAAAACAAAAGAAACAAACTAATTAGCACAATCTAATCGATATATTGTTGATTGTTATTATCCCAGAGAGAAAAGAAAAAGAAAAATGATTTTAATCAATTGATTGATTTCAACTATTTTTCTATTAACATGTTATTGGTTTTTTTTTCTCATCAATTTATTGACCATAGGTATTAATTATTATAATAATACTAATTATCAATTATCAATGTTTCTCTTATTAATTACATGTTAAATTACATGTACATAAACATCTTATGCATATTAATATTTATATTATTTATATATTTATATATATTTGTGTATATAAACTTTTTCTTTGCCTTTTGCTTGATTTAGATATTATTGAGAAGTGATTATCATCACCAATTATTTTTTGGGTTGTAGGGCATCAACGAGTATCCAAGTGTAAAGTTTCTGATAGATGGTATCAAGTTTTTTGTATTTAAGGCTACTCAATCCATCGGTTCTGAATCGTCGTTTAGCTGAGTATAGTTTTTTGTATCTATATGAAGGAGAAGAAGAAAATAGATTAGTAACAATTGAAGATAAAAAATGAGATTAAATGGATGAGATTAGGGAGGAAAAGAGAAGAGGCCAATGTTTACAACAGATAAGATAACGTGTGATAAGTAGATAGAGTGAGAGAGTAAATGAAATGATAACGATAATCGGGGAGATAAAAAAACGAGATGAAATTGAAGAGAGAGAGAGAGAGAGAGAGAGAGAGATGATGAAGATACTAGATGATGATAGAAGAATAAGTTAAGTGAGAGAAAAATGGAGATGATAGATAATGAGGAAAGAAGAGGAGAGATGTTTGTTAGAGTTTCATTGATTATGATGACGCTCATCCTGATGGTGATGATGATGATTGTGAGAGTCATCATCATCAGGAAGAGAAAGTGGGTATGAGAAAGAAAAAATGATAAAATGATAATATAATAATAATGACAGAAAAAAAGGATAAATCTAAGGCAAAAAATATCCACAATAAGGTGACTTGTCTCATGAGAAGGGTTTCTATTATATTGGATGAATAGATTTTGATTGATAATGGGAGAGAGAGAGAGAGGAAAAAGATAACCTGTCAGGATTTGGTGTTTCTTTTCGATGCCTTAACATTGAGTATCGAGCAATTGTTTCAGGGTAACGGGTTATTCGGAATCCATGAAAACTAATACGATGAGACATGTCATCATCTTCACCACCCCAACCCCAATATTCATTTGAAAACCCATTGAGAACATTCATTTGACTCTTTGAAAGAGCACTGACACCACCAAAGATACCATTGTAAGGAAGTCTGTACAAAAGAAAGAAAAAAATTAGAAACAAGAAAAAATCAGAAAAAAAGATGATGAAAGATGAATGGAGAAGAGTGAGTGAGTGAGAGAGAGAGAGAGAGAAAGAAAATATCATGAAGGATGATGTTTAGAGGGATAAATGATGAGAGGTCGAGATGAAAATTCCAATTTGTTACTTGTCGTAACTACAGTAACTCAGGAATTGAGATTATTCAACAATTTGAAACAGTCAACAACTAGTATGAAAAAGGATAAATAGATTGATGATGACGATGATGATGAAAACATGGATAAGAAGTTGAAAGAGTGAGAGAAATGAAAGGGAAGTAAAAAAAAAGTTCCAAGAGGTATAACCGGTTCATCTTTACTTGATGACCCAACATCATTTTCATCATGATAATCACCAAAAAAGCAAAAGCATTAGGAAGACGATGATTTGATTGTAAACATCATTTTGCTGATTATAAAGCCTCTGGGCAAGCCTTGATCTTGATGCTTCTTATTTTTGTTAACTGTCTTTTTTTAATTCTTGCCTTGTGATGATCTTATTTCCCTATTACATTGATCATCCGCATCTTTAATTTCACAGTTAAATCTCTTTCAATCCTGTTAGATGAAGAGACGGAGATGATTTCTAATTATTATTACTAATATCAAAATGAGAAATTAGAGAAGGAGGAAGAAGATGAATAACACAAAGCCCGGTGGTCATGTTCTTAAAAGTTAAACAAGTTGATTGTAGGAAAGAAAAACAGTTAACTATCAACAATAATCATAATCATCTTTGCATACAAACAAATGGAGAGATGATCATTAGATAGACTAAGAGAAAAAAAAATAAGAAGCAACGATAAATGAGACTGTTGGTGAGATTGTATCGCAATTATTGTTCATGATGATGGAAGAAGAAAATTAAAATTCTATAATTGTTGTTGCTGTTAAATGGAAAGGGGAAAAAAGGTCGTAAGTTCAATTGGTAGAATTGAATGTTAAATGAGATAGAGATGAAGAGAGAAAGTGAATTGATGATGAAAAGGAAGATGAATTTGTTTTTCTTTTTCTCTTACTTGTACTTCATCGTATTGATAGCAACTGACATATGTCTTGGTTGTTCAGCACATCTATAGAGATTCCTATCATCTTCAGGAACCAAATCAACATCATGGAAAATAAAGCAATCATAATCTTGTTGTTTTGATGCTTCAACAAATCCAATATTAAACAATTTGGCTCTATTGAATCTCGTATCTTTCATCTATTGTTACGGTGATGGTTAATCAGCATGGTGAAGGTTAGACAATTGTATTATTTTTTTTTTGCGGCCCATTGTAAGAAATAACATGATAATGATGATGGTGATTCCATGATGATAAATTTAATTGTTTCAAATTGTTGGAAACGAGCAGCAGTCACATAGTTGCGTTAATTGTGGATGTTGTATCATTTTGTAGGCGTTTCACATTTATGCGTAAGAGATTTTTTCAGGTCCATATAGTAAAAGACATTGGAAAGACAAGTGAGAGAGAAAATTAGAGTGAGTTACTGAGTAAATAATAGTGTTTGATGGTTGACGTAGTAAAGAGTAGGAGAGGCTCCAGAAAAGATAACAATTAGAGAGAGAGAGAGAGAGAGAAATTAAAGAGAGAAAGTCAAGTGACTATTGTCCCGAAACTCGATTTTTACCTTCAACCTACAATATCTTTCTCTTTCTCTTTCTCTTTCTGTTTTTTTTCTTCTTATTCTACTTTCAAGTGACATTAATGAAGAAGATGATTCTTATAAGAAAAAGGGAGAGGTTGATTACTATTTGATTCATTGATTTATAAAGGGTGTTAATTCTTATCATGAAAAGGGAGGAGTAGATTAGATTAGGTAAATTTAATCTCTAATGAATGTACTTTACCTGTTCTATGATAAAGATACAATAGTCTATTTGCTGACGTTGTAACATAGGATGGAGATTATGAATTAATATTCGTAGATGGAGCTCTCTATCACGATATGGTACTATGATGGCAACTTTTTGACGAGCTGTACAATTTTTAACGTGAAAACATCCACCTGGTTCAATGTTTGGTAATTCATCTTCCAATTCAGTCCAATCTTTAATCTCGGTCATAACCTTCAAACGGCCAACTAAAAGGTAAACAAAAAAAAGACAATCAGATTAATGGTAAACTATAAATGATTATATTAGTTTAAATTGTATTAATACAATTGTCGTTTCTTACCCAATTTAGGAGGGATTAAAGGACAAAGTTGTTGATGATCTTGATGATGCTGTAATTGCTGCTCTTGTTGATGTTGTTGTTGTTGTTGTGGTGGTTGTGGTTGTGATTGTGGTTGTTGGGAATGTTGTTGTGAATGTTGTTGATGGTGATTTTTTTGACTAGAAATGTTGATTGTTGAGGAACCATAGTTGTTAATCAATGGAAATATTGTCTCTGAGGCACTATTATTTACATTTGATGAAGATAACATTAACAATAGTAGTAAAACAGCAATTAATTTGCATAAATGACTTTTTACAAAAATTGTATAACCTGGATGATTCTTACTCGGCACCGGCACCTCAATCAATTTAACAAGCATTTTTATTAAAAAATTAACATCAACAGAGAGATTAATAAATTATTATTGATTAGCTAAATACAATAAATTTATATTTAAAAAAAAAGAACACAAAATTACAGATAAATCAATAAATTCATTTTCGATCAACAAAAAGAAAACATTGAGACACAAGAAACTGAACTTTACATGATGGTGAGCAAACTCAATATGAATCATTCCGAATGGAAATCTTGTCACAAGTTGAGCCAAAAATTATTCTCTTTAGTTCATCGGTAGATGGAGTTAGTGTTTTTCGCTTCTTGTTTTCTTTTCTATTTTGAAATTGTTTCTTTTGACCAAAATTCAAAATTTAAACTTTAAATTTGATTCGTTTTTTTAATTATCTATCAATCGAGTTAATTAGTGTTTTTTGTTTCGTTTTGTTTCATCTTTATTTTGTTCTTTTGGTGATATTATGGCTCCAATGGCTGTTGGTAAATTGTGTTTTCTTGAAGAAGCTGGAAAATTGAAGCGATTGGATAGAAGAGGTTGGATAATTAAGGGTATTGATAAACCCGAGACAATTAGTGGTCATATGTATCGTATGAGTCTTATGCCACTTTTGATTTTAGACAAATTTGGTGATATGGATAAGGATAAGATTATTAAACTTTGCTTAATTCATGATCTGGCTGAATGTATTGTTGGTGATATTACTCCTCATGACAATGTTTCCAAAGAAGATAAACATGAAAGGGAAACCAGTGCAATTAATTATCTGGGTAAGTACGAGGTTATTTTCATTTATTTTCTTCCTACTAATCGTTAATCAATTGAGTTATTCATGGTTTATTTAGATGTTTCTCTCTCCCTCTCCCTCTCTTTCTCTGTTGAATTAGGTTATTTTGTTTTCATTCCCAAGGTTTTAACTGAAACAGAATTAATCGATTACCTCTTTTATTCCCTCACATGTAGTCTGTTTCATGATAAAATATACACGATAGAATTTTTTGTGTATTCTAATATCATTTCAATATCCTGAGTAAATTTTTTCCATCCTATTTTTCTTTCTTTGTCAAACTGTCTGGGATTATTTTTGTTTGGGAAAAAAGCTTATGTTAACCTTTTGAATGTTTCAATTGCTCAAGGAACACTTTCTTTATTGTATGATGATTAAAATCGTTTTTTTTTCTTCTTTTCTTTTCTGTTGACTTTTTTCTCATAGCTTCTCTATTGCCTAATACTCAGTCAGCGGAGCTGAAAGAGCTTTTTGATGAATATGAGGACCAGAAGACCCCAGAAGCTCAATTAACCAAAGATTTTGATATTTTCGATATGGTTCATCAAGCTTTTGAGTATGAGAAACTTGAATTCGTACGAACCGGTATAATTCCTGATCTAAGTGAATTTTTCTGCCAAAATAAAGTTTTATCTCGGATAAAAAATGAAGAAGTCAATGATCTGGTCAGTGAAATAGTCAATCAACGAGACAAATTTTGGAAAGAGAACAATTCAAATAATCTACCAAATCAATTAAAGGAGAAAGATAATTCAACTCAAATCGAAGGAGATCAAGTTGTCAACATTCAAGTTTAACCACTTTCGTAATATCCACGTAAACATAATTATCTAATCTGGATTATCATTAAAATATCTAAACAAATACAAGGTAACTCTAAAAAAGACTGAATCAGCTATTCCAACTTAAAGTTGATCGTCTCTAAATCAACTTGTGCAACAAAAAAAAGTGATACAATGTCTCAAATCAAGTCTTCCACCACCAAACCCTCAAATGGGATTAAGATAATATGCTAATAACCATCATTTTTAATAGAAAACAACAACAACAACAAAAAACGATTTTCTTTTATAAATCAAAAAGAAATTCTTTTTTACACCTTTATACTTATTCGACAAGTTTTGGTCAAGCTTCCCCCCTAAAAACTGAACCAAACTCTCAATCAATCATTCAGATTCTTATAAAAACTGTATCCTTTTCAGTCAACTAAATAATTAACATCCTTTAAATAAAATTGAACTTTTCCAACTACTAAAAGAAGGTGAAAAGTCCAGACGTTTTCCATTAATCAGATTGATTATCAATCCATTTGTTTCAAAAATAGAAAGAGAGAGAGAGAGAGCATGCGTTCGCTTTCCACGTGCTCAAAATCACCATTAAAAAGTATTACATGAAAACCAGTTTCCAATTGAATCAAAATTTTATTCTAAACAAAAATGAAGCTTGAACATTGAACAAAACTCGAACTTTAGATTTAAATATTGAACTTTCGACTCAAGAATTCATATCAGGGGATGTAGCTCAGATGGTAGAGCGCTCGCTTAGCATGCGAGAGGTACCGAGATCGATACTCGGCATCTCCAATTAATTTTTTTTCCAATTCGTTCTAATCAATCATTTTGAGCATGGAAATTATTTTCTAATCAATAACATTTAATTCATCAGGTAAATCAAGAATTGCATGATTATAACAGCACAAGAATTTTTGAAACATTTAAAAAGTTAATTGATGAGTTTCAGTTTTTTTTTTACTTCTTCACAACAATTTAATTTTTTTTTCTTCTCAATTGTTGATGGTTGGGATGGATTTTTGATTAGATAAAGTTGACTGTCAATTATTGCCGTTAATTGTTTGGAATAAAATGATGAGAATATAATAATAATTTACAGAATAAGAGGAGAAGTTTTTTGTTGATTTCAGAATAAAATGAGAATTGATTGTTAATCAAGAAAACATGGAGATTGAAAGGTAAGATTGGAATAGAAAAAGAGAATCATCAACCTGTAATTCACATAATTCCAAACGATGAGAAAGTTTCTTCAACTTCTCAAGTAAATCTTTATCATGAGTGGAAAAGGATTGATTGAGTTCCTCAATTTGTTGTTCAATATCAGCTTGTTCACTTGATAATCTTAAATTGGTAATAACAGCATCGATTATTGCTTTACGCTCAATTAGTGATTTATGGGTTTCGAGTTCATGATTACGTCGAACGATACAATTGTAAACGGCTTGATAACATCGTTCGATTGTGGATCGAACAATTTCTTCAACATTAACGTTGAAAATGAAAAAAGTATGAGCAGGAAGATATTCTGATCCTTTGGGATATTGAAGTAATCGAATAAAATTATTGGTCATTAAATTATAAGTACATTCTTTGGCATCTTTAGCGGGGATCATTGCAAGTTCTTCGATTTGTTTCTGATGAAGATATTTTCGTGATAAAAGTAATCGAAATATTCGTCCACACTGTGATCCAAATCTATCGGTAACAATTGTCGATATTGATGATTGGATTAGTTTATCATGGATAAGTAAGATGTTTACTCGATACATGGCAACACCAGATCTTTCATCGACTTTGACAACAAATCGAGTATCATCATCGGTAAGGAAGAGAAGATATTCATCAACAATATCTCGAGATGGGAATAAATTTTCTCGAAGACAATGAGAGACAATATCGCTTTTACTGATTGCAATTGTTTCCTTTGTCCAGGGAGACGATTGACTTAATCGAAGCATAACTTGGACCAATTGAGCTGCTTTCTCATCGTCATAATGAGCCTTTAATCCTTCTAAAATTGTCATATCACGTAAATAAAGATGAAATTGATCGGGATTAACCATATAGTAAACATCTTCTTTAGCCTGAGGCTCTTTCCTTTGTCTTTTAGTTGCAGGTTCTGATGTTTCATTCTCTGACTTTACCAGGCCACTTATTGCACTTTTCTGCATAGCTCTAAACTCATCTTCGGTTTCAATGGTACTTGGAAACCAATCAGTCTCATTGGTTTCATTTGATATGACACAAGCTCGTACAATATATTTAGCTTGAACCATTCGAGCCAAAACTTCAAAGATTAAATTTGGATAATTGTCAGTGTCACGATTTTCACTAGTATTTTTCATTCGATTATAAACCTTGCTCACTATTCCATCAGGGGTCATAATTCCTTCACCAAGTATCTCTTCAACTATTTGTTCACCAAAATCTCCAAACCTAATAAACCAAAGTAAAAACAAAAAGAGAGAAAAAAAAAAAAATAAGTAAAGATGAACAAAAGTGTCACAATCAAAGTACTTACACACTCTTGGCAATGTAGATATATTTTGGATATCTAAGTAAATATAAAATTCTCTCCGGTTCAGCTTTATATTCAATGAAACCTCTCGCATGTTTAGATGTAGTAATTAAACAATGGTGGATGAGAACGGCGAGAGATTTTTTCACATTTTTAACACTCTCTCCAGACTCAAGACAAATCAATCTCAATGGAGCTTTACTTAGACTCATCACAGAACTACCAACAGTTGAGATTATCTCACCAAAGTATTCCTTTAATAACAAAGAGCACAGTTTAATCGTTTGCTTGGTCATTTTTACAACAATTAAAAAAAAGATAATAACAATTAGCTGATCACCTGCAATTGGTTTTGTCGCTTTAAATGTTTTCCAAAACAAAAACCAAAAAGTGAACATATGGTCAATCGATATATCGAAACAATCGATGTTCAAGCTGCTTGAGATTTTGAATTTTCATCTGACAAATTTGATTTTGTTTCCATTTGTTGGATTAATTGTATGTTCAATTTTATTTAATTTCTTTTGTTTTCCGTATTTTTGTGATTCGTTTTAATTGTTGACAGAATGGATAATGATGTTATCATGGATACTTCTGATGTTCCTGCTCCGTTTGACGAAATTGAATGAAATGTACTTTTCTATCAATTGTTTTGAGGATCAAGTGATTAATTAATTGTTCTTACCTGCGGAAAAGTTTCTCTCGAATATGAGACTGACCTTCTCCAAAAGCACGATCAAAATGGTCACATCAAAAGCGATCGTATACGAAATGATGACCAAAATCCCGACGGAAACAAATTCTCGAAATCCTGAGAAATCATTGGTCTCCAACGATCCATAGACAACCTCAGGTACATCCACAGGTATCTTGGTGATTGCCCGATTACGACCAAGGTGGGTCATCATTTTCTGAACGAAATCAAGGTAAGCTTGTTGGAACGATCTTTCAATGGTCAAGGAAATCGGCCAATTAGTAACATCGAGATGTAATAAGATGGTTGAATCATCGTGAGTTTTATTGGTAAACTCATCGGGTTTACGATAACGTTGAATCAAAGCGGAAGTAAAATTTTCAGGAATCTCAATCCAACCGACGATCGATTGAGTTTTACCTGCAATTTTCGCCTTCTCAGCCGAATCGAAAGGCACTTGGGTAAAAACATACCGATTAACGGTAGATTCATTATTGACCACACCAAGTTTCAAATCGTAAGGTATTTGACCAACAAACATACAGAAACACATTAAGGAAATTAACGGAATCACAAATTGAACAATTATCGTTGTTGGTGTGCGTTTAATTTGCATGGCGAAGTTTTGAATTACGATGATCAAAGTGCAGTACCAGAATAGTAATCGAGTCTCTAAATTTTTCCGTCTCACGGGAATTGGTTTCTTATAATCAACCATAATCTCGGACACTTCGGACATTGGATATTTAATCGGTGCTATTGTCAAGGTATATGAAACTGATCGAGGTCTTTGTTTACCGTTGGCACAATCATTTGAATCACTATCATCATAATTAATCTCATCACTTGAAATTTCATCTTCATCTTCTAGATTAACATTAACAAATGATGTTCGTTGTTGTTGAACGTTAACAATTAGTTGATTTTTTTGATTATTATTAATAAATGTGTCTTTTGTTTTGTTGTCCATTACAAGAGCTAGAAACACTTTTTCCAATGTATTAAAACCCATTCTGTCCATTAACTCAGTGGGTGAATCTTCAACTAGAATTGACCCCGTTCTCATGAAACCGACTCGATGGGAACGTCGAGCCTCCTCAATATAATGGGTTGTAATGATTACCGTTATTCTGTCAACGGTTGAAAAGTGTGTCAACAATTCCCAAATACGTTCACGAAGTATTGAATCACAGCCCACTGTTGGTTCATCCAAGATGAGTAATCTTGGCTTATGGACAATGGTCAGTGCAAAAGAGACACGTCTACGTTGTCCACCACTTAAATTGATCACAAGACGATCTTTATCCGGAAGATCAAGGGAGGTTATAAGACGATCGATTCGTTTTTTAAGTGTCTCCGTTTCGATTAGGTACAAGTTACCATAGTATGTCAACAGTTCACCTATGGACAGGTACTCGTGTAGAGCCAAATCTTGTGGCATGTAACCTAAACCTCTCCCGAGAACACCTGATCTTTCATCGCCTGGAGGGTAACCAAAGACACTTATCTTACCTGATGAAATGGCCTGGAAACCGATGAGACATCGTAGGAATGAAGTTTTTCACAGCCTGATGGACCTAAAAGCCCATAAATTGTTCCTCTTTGAACATTTAGATTAAGACGATTTAATATTGGCACGGGTTCTAATCCATTCATGAGAACGAGGGAAACTTGTTTAGCCTGAACGGCTGATTTTTCACTTGAGCTGATCGCGTTGATACCGAAGACCAAACACTTGTTGACCATACTTACTATTGTATGGGAACGTGGACGACCTACGACTTGAAGGGTCACTGTATTCACTGATGGATCTACCGATGAACTCATGGTTAGTTTGTTTCAATTTTGTGTCCACGATGGATGAAGAGGGGAAAAATTGAGAGGCGGGAAAGCCCCGCTGAGGGAAAATAAAAGGTAAAAGAAAGTAGGAAGTAGGAGGTTGAGGAAAAGAGGAAAATTCAAGAAGATATTCACTTTACATGGAGGTCAAAGATTCTCATCTCATGGTAAATACGCTGTTTGGGGAGGGGAGATTAAAGAAGGGAGAAAAAGAGAGAAAAAGAGAGGGAGAAAATAGTGATTAAGAGAGACGGAGGACATTCGGTTTTCCCGCTTTTGCATCAGCACAATACCAATAATCGGATTATCAAACTGATTAGTGAGTTTCGAATTGTGAGATCTTTCATCGACTTTGACAACAAATCGAGTATCATCATCGGTAAGGAAGAGAAGATATTCATCAACAATATCTCGAGATGGGAATAAATTTTCTCGAAGACAATGAGAGACAATATCGCTTTTACTGATTGCAATTGTTTCCTTTGTCCAGGGAGACGATTGACTTAATCGAAGCATAACTTGGACCAATTGAGCTGCTTTCTCATCGTCATAATGAGCCTTTAATCCTCTAAAATTGTCATATCACGTAAATAAAGATGAAATTGATCGGGATTAACCATATAGTAAACATCTTCTTTAGCCTGAGGCTCTTTCCTTTGTCTTTTAGTTGCAGGTTCTGATGTTTCATTCTCTGACTTTACCAGGCCACTTATTGCACTTTTCTGCATAGCTCTAAACTCATCTTCGGTTTCAATGGTAGTTGGTAGTATTCCTTTAATAACAAAGAGCACAGTTTAATCGTTTGCTTAGTCATTTTACAACAATTAAAAAAAAGATAATAACAATTAGCTGATCACCTGCAATTGGTTTTGTCGCTTTAAATGTTTTCCAAAACAAAAAACAAAAACCAAAACAAAAAAAGTGAACATATGGTCAATCGATATATCGAAACAATCGATGTTCAAGCTGCTTGAGATTTTGAATTTTCATCTGACAAATTTGATTTTGTTTCCATTTGTTGGATTAATTGTATGTTCAATTTTATTTAATTTCTTTTGTTTTCCGTATTTTTGTGATTCGTTTTAATTGTTGACAGAATGGATAATGATGTTATCATGGATACTTCTGATGTTCCTGCTCCGTTTGACGAAATTTCTTTGAAACGAATGATATTACAATTTGAAAGGAAAGTGTTGAAGAATCAGGAACATCGAATAAAATATTCTAACGATGCTCTTAAATTCATGGAGACTGAGGTTGAATTGTTTGAGATTATTAAGAAATTACAAGTAACCAGTACTCAACCAGAGCTTTATCATGTTCTAATTGAGCTTAAAGTTTTGACTACATTGATTGGACTGTTGGTTCATGAGAATACCGATATTTCCTGTGCTGTTGTCTCTCTACTCCAAGAATTGGGTGATGTCGATGATTCTGATGATTATGAGAAAGTTTCAATTCTCCTTGATTCTCTTATTGAGTCACAAATTATTCAGCAACTTGTCTTTAACATGACAAGACTCGATGAAAGTGTCAAAGAAGAATCAGAAGGAGTTTACAATTCTTTAGGTTGGTTTTTCTGTCAATCTCATGAAACTTGATCGGTTTTGTGTTAATCAATCTTTTTCCGTTCTCTTTACACTTTAGCGATCATTGAAAATTTACTCGACTACAAACCTGAGCTTTCCAAAGACTGTCAATCTTTATTGTCATGGCTTCTTCAACGGATGAAAGCGAAGTTACCATTCGATGGTAATAAATTGTATGCGTCGGAAATATTATGTATTCTGTTGCAAAACAATGATGAGAATCGTAAACAATTGGGATCCCTTGGGGGAATTGATACTCTTCTTCAACAAATCGCCGTAGGTTAAACATTTCGAAGATTCGTCAACTCTGAATAATTATATTTTGTCTTTTCTTTTTATTCGATTCAGTATTTCAAGCGACATGATGTTTCTAGTGCCGATGAGCGAGAATATTTGGAAAATGTCTTCGATTGTTTATGTTCTGCTCTTCTTTGCTGTTCCTCAAATAGGAAACTTTTCTTTGATGGTGAAGGTATCGAACTAATGAATTTAATATTGAAAGAAAAGAAAAAAGGAACATCAGGTTCTCTTAGAATGGGAACTGTCAAAGTACTTAATCATCTACTAAGTGAAGACAAAGGACGTGATAGTGTTTTAGAAGATTGTTGTAACAAATTCATCGAAATTTTTGGACTCGCTTCGATTTTCCCCATTTTCCTCAAGCCGAAATCCATAACATTAGGACAAAAAAAGAAAGAAGCAAATGTTGTTATCGACGATGTAGAAGAACATTGTTGCTCGATTATTCTCGCACTTCTGAAACATTCCAAGGTGGAAAACAAAAGGAGAGTGTTGAATAAATTCCTAGAAAACAACATGGAGAAAACTGAACGATTGGTTGAATTGCACTTTAAATACGCCGATAGATTAATTCGATGCGATTCGTTAATCAGGAAAGAAAGAGCACAGAAAATGGCGAATGATGAGAATATCGATGAAGAACAGATTTTTATTCGAAGATTAACTGAAGGAGGACTTTTTACTCTTCAAATAGTCGAGCAAATAATTCTAATCATTTGCCAAGAACCTTCAAGTAAAAGCGAAAACAATCAACCATCAACAAGCACCAGTACGAGTCATCAACAGCCACAACAACCTAAAGATCAATCGATTAAGGGAACGGTCATCAAATTGTTGAATATTCATGCATCTTCATCAGTTAATCACTACAAATTGATCAAAAGTGTAATGAAAGAAATGGCCGAAGAACAAGATAACGATGAAAAAGAACGAATTTTACAATTGGTCGAAGAATTTTGATGTAAACAAAACTTAATTGTTATTCGAGATAAAGTGATGATTTTTTTTTCTAACTAATTATTCGGATGAAAAACATTGAACGATCAACAGCATCAGGATTCAGCTTTCTTTTCAATCAGTTTTTATATATGAATTTTATGTATATTTATATATATAGTAATTATTTCATCATCATGATCTTCTCCAATTAATACAAGTTGTGTCTTTACGCTTTTTCGGATAGATGATGACACGATAGAGAAATGAAAGGAATAATCCAGATTTTTTGCTTCTTTAAAAGGATTTGATCGAAAAAGGGAACAAAGTTAATTTGAATCGATTATAAATTTAAGTGGCCCATTGTTTCAAAGCCTCTAATTCATCTTCTTCAGCATCTTTGGATTTGGAACCTGTAGGGGAATAGAAAAAGATCAATGAGAAGATAAATATCAAGAGATTATCGTTAATTAACTTACTTGTAGCAGCGATTGCCTCTTTAAGCTCTGTTTGTGGAGCCTCAGGGAGAGTTCCAGCATCCAGTAATTGTTTATCCAATTCCTCTTGTTCCAACTCTTCCAATTCCTGTAATATTTTTATCATCGAAAAAAAAATATAAGATAAGATAATTAAACAACCATATACGTGATGATAAAAATCTAGAATGGGTTGATCATTTCAACATGAATCATAATCGAGCAGATGTAACTTATTGGATGAAAGAGAAAATTTACCTTGATGAGTTCATCTTCATCGATATTCTGTCCGAATGCTGATTTATCGGTAATAACGTTAACAATCTCTTCGGCCATTTGTTGTTGTTCTCTAACATCTTCCATGAGATCTTCCACTTTATCGACGTCCATACTATTATGTACAGTTTTCAATGCCTTAGCAGCCAATCCCATGTTCTTAAGAACCTCGGTGTTGGTATTAGCATTTTCAAGAGCTTCTCTTTGGAATTCTAATGTAGTTAATGTCCCTTCCTGGGTCTCCATTTGTTTCTCTAGACGTTTTTTCTTTTTAAGTGCAGCCAAAGCCACTTTCTTATTTTTGGTTCCATTGGCTTTGATTATAGCTTCTTGTTCCTTAATAAGTCTTTCATAATATTCCTGTTTCTTCAAAAGCATTTCCTCTGTATCACGTAACCTGTAAAATAGAACGATGAGAAAAGAAAAGAAACAAAAATTGAATAATTAACACAGAGTAATGATGAATAAAGGCCAATTCAAACAAGCCAAACATATCAAATGACTCATTCAAATAATTCAATGATAATACCGCTATTGACAGTAACCATTTTAAAAATGGAATTCTTTCGAACAACTAAAATTAAAAAATAATAATTAAATTCCAATAATAATTGTTCATTAATCTAAATGAGACCATTTTTACAAAATGATGGAAAGTGTCAATTGTAAAACTCACTTTTGTATAGCTATTGATGGAGAAACCTTTTCATCTTGTTTACTTTCACTTTTACCACCACCGAATAATTTACCTAGAAAAGACATAATTACAATTTAACACTTAATTAAAAGAAAAAAAACTAACAAAACAGATCAAATCGAGCCAAAGACAAATGTAAATTAAGAAAACAATCAAATTATGATTGACAAAACCAAGGCCTAAGAGACTCAATTACTCTGGTGAGTCCAAACATTCAATAGAAAACAACGTAAACCAAAGTATCTGATCTTGGATTCGAATATCGAATATCGAATAGAAAAGGAGAAAAAGAGTAAACAGAAAATTCAATTGCAACACTTATTGACTTTCTTGTTAATTGTTTTCGCTATTTAATTAATTTACTCTCTTCAACGGCAAATAGTTAATTATGTCCTCAACAACGAAGCCAACCAATTAGAAGAGCTGATTCGCCGTAAGATCGATCGATCGGCCGCAAATCGAGCTGCTGCTTTTGTTCAGCAAAGGAAACGTGCGAGAATCGCTGGGCTCGTTTTGTCAATGATCTCTGTTGGAATTTGTGAGTATAATTTTGATTATTTTCTTTTAATTGTTGGTCAATTTGCTAATCATTTTGTTACATTTGTTCTTCTTTTTATTCTCTCTCTCAAGATGGTTACACGATTTACACTATTAAACAAGAAAAGCTATTTGATGATTTAGAGCCAACGGATGTTTCATCTTCTACTAATAAATTGTAATTGTTTTTCTAGATTTTTGAATTTAAATTAAAGAGAAAAGGTCGTTGTAAATAAGAGAAATAGAAAAAAAAATATTTAACAAGCAAAATGTAAATGGATAAAGCGAAATTAGATGATTTTAATAAAGAATGATAATGGTGACTTTTGAAGGGGAATACAATTGTCAATAAATCATTGAATTGAATTACATGAGATGATTTTTCATTAGAGACTTATCGTTCCTCACACCAATCATTTTCTTTACGAATCTGCTCTTCTTCAGCAGGGGTGAAATCATTTACAATGTTAAACGTCTTTCTGATCTCCTCGGGAGTTTTACCCTTGATCATGTTGGCCACAGTTTTACATGATACATCCAATAGACCTTTGATATCCAAGTAATTAGCAGCCTGTGATTGGAAATGAGATTGAGAAAAGGAGAGGGAAAAAAATAGAACAGAATAGAATATTAATTAGTATTGGAGAGAAGAAAAAAAAACGTAAAAAAGAATCACAAATAAAGGAAAATGCGCATTGTTAAGGAGATTACAATGAAATATAGAAATTCTGTCCTATTATAGAGATACACTTATTGTATACTTACAAGAATGAGCTCAAAGAGAGTTCCTTGGTCGACTTTTAGAAAATCTGCATCCCAAGTACTGATATCATCGGTTCTTTTATCACGACAGTCATCGTTCTCTGGTGGTGGTAGATCTTTGTGATGGTGGGTAGCCCAGGTAATAATCTTTTTCAAGATGGTTGAATTAACATTGTGAAGAGGAACCATATCATCATCTCCTTCCTCCTCATCTAGGCCAAGATCCTCTAACATGGTCTTTATGGTGACCGAGACTTGGGCAATTTCTACATCAACAGGGAAAACTTCACCATCCGAGCTAATCAATCTAATTGTAGGCATGGTTAAATGAAATGTAAGGAACAATGAAAATTAAAATTAAATTTAAAAGAGACAAAGTTAATCAGTAAGACAATAATTAACAATTCTAAACATAAACAATTGTTGACTCTTCTCTCTCAATATCGACTCTTTAAATAGAGAAACACAATCAACGCCCTCTAGCGAATAGAAAGTAACTCCATCTGTTGGTAATTAGGAGAACTTTTTTTTGAATTTTGTTCTTTTTAAGCTTTTTTTTCATTAATTTCTTATTCCTTTTTCTCGTTCAATATTTTAGTGATTAATTAATGGCGGAATTAAATTGTATCTGTTTGGCATTTTAATTAATAATTTTTGGTGATAATTTGTCTAATTGTTTATGAAGGACAAGAGAATTGGCCTTATCAGCAGATTGTATTCTTCGTATCTGTCAGTTTATAAGATTTGATTTCTTTTCTAAGGAAATGTTTTACTTGCCTCTAGCATTGTTTTCTTGTTTTCATCTTCCAGTGTTTAAAGTTGATTAATTGTAAATTGTTTCATTTTTTTAATCTATCGTTTGCTAAAATTTAACTAACCCAATGTTTGTCCTTCAGATGATATCTGTTTCAAGGTTTATCATTGGTTGTCAATGATGACAAGTTCTAGAAAAATCCTTTTTCTAAATGTTGTTTGTATTTTTAAAAAAGTGAATTTTTTTCCAATTACATTTGGGAAATTCAAATTTCTTTTACTATTTAGAATTGATTTGGGTGTTTTATTGGACTGGCCGATTTTATATTTGGATGGATCCTTTGGTTTATTATCATCCACTTTCCACTGGTACTTGGCTTTACACGGGCTTTTTGTAATGTTTAATTGGCAAAAAGATTATCTCATAATCATCCTGTTGACTGGATGTGAAAATTTCCACTAATTAATTAATTGGTCAAATTTAGGATGTAAAGGGTTTGATGGTTTGTTGTTGAAAAGCTTCTGGTTTGATTGTTAACCCCCTTTAAGAACGCGTGTTCCCTCAACACGTGTAAACGCATTCACTTTATTTGGATCAATTTTTTGCGATCATGTTAAGTAATTGATCTGATTTAAAGTTTAATTACGACAACAAGTGATTTATTTGCCTCAATTTAGGTGGAAAATAAGTGAAAAACTATCAACATGGTGCAAGAGTATTGATGTCAAAATGGAACAAGCAACAAAGAAAATAAGTGAATTACTCTCAAATTCTGATCACATTTAACTGGATTAACTTCTATTAGAAAATGAAAGGTATTTATCAACAAATTGTGATAATAATCAACACAATCAATAGTTTATCAATTTGATACTTTACTTTCAATCATTATACTTGCAAATCCAATGATCCTCATTTAATATCATCTCTTTTTTTGTCATTTTCCCTCTTTTTCATCATCATCTCTACAGGTTTTTAATGGTAACATTTTCCATATCATATCATGACATTCAATCAATTTCTGTTGCTCCATAGTCTCGGAAAAAAACTCAAACACAATTAGGATTAAATGGACACCAAATAAGTGGAACTTTGACCTCACAAAGGCTCACCTTTGCTCTCAGACAGTAACAACTAAATAGATATTGGATTACATGGTCTCTTCATCCTCTGACTGTCATTTTTTTCTCGTGTTCATTCAACCTTTTTTTTTCCTGATCATCTGATGTTATCTTTCAGTTTTTTTTGTGTCATCTGATAATCTGCCGTTAAGGATATTCAAATAATTGATTGTTAATATCTCTTGTCCTTGATTAGGATCTCGAAATGCAAAAACATAAAGTCTTGATGTCACAAGCAATCCAGTTATTGGCTATTCTGCTGATCAAGTTTGTTTGTCGTTGCCGACATATAATTGTCTTTAATGAAGATAATCAAGCTGTTAATTGTTGTTAATCAACTGATTTCCCTTTTTTTTTAAAAAAGCTAAATTTCTTGATCATCTCGACTAATATAAACACAGTGATTATCATTATAATCAACGCAAAGAAAACAATTGATATTTTCCCTTGCGATACTTTAAGAAACAGTTAATTGTTAACCCGATTTCATCATAAACATTAAGAGTTAAAATCTCCTTAATTCCTAACTAAACTGTTTTACTTGATTAGGATTAAAGGTCATGATAAACACATTGAATGTTGAAATTCATCCTGAAATAGGAAAAAAAATCACAATTATCTGATTAAAAATGGATGATTGTTAATTTATAAGGTTTCAATTTCATTGAGATATTTATTTGTATCTCCATTGAAATTGCAAATTAATAAACAAACAAATCACCAACAATTAGTCCAAATAATCAAACTAATAGAAGAGTAGAAACTCAATCCTTAATCTAATATCAATTGTAATTACATTTTAATCAAAAGATTAGATAATCAAGTTAATTATCCTTGTTATCAATTAACACAATCAACTAGACTGATTTAATTATCTACACGAAACAAGAAAAAAAATAATAACTCCAAAGAGAAGGATAAATAAGATAATTTGAATTAAATGAAATTTTCTCTAATCAACTCTACTGATTATTTAATTCTTTACCTTTAATTGTAAACGTTAATTATGATAATAATAATTGAATTAAAAACACAATATATACTTTGAAATGAAATAATAAATGATAAAGAAAAGATGAGAATAAGAAATTGAATCCATACTAATGTTTCTTGTCAATTAACGAAACCATAGAAAATCAAATTTACTTTTAACCATTTCGATTGAAATTGTTATTAGGTAAGTAAAGTAACTGTTCATTCACCACCACCACCTACACTCCTTTCACCCTCCCCACTCCCAATATCCATGATGGAATCAAAATATCAACTAATATCATAACCAATCACGTGAGAATCGACATTCCCATTGGACTATCTTGAAAGTTATCACAAATTGGCTCCTCCTCTTAAGCTAATCTGTTAACTATTTTCTATATAAACGAAACTCCTCCTTTCTAGTTTATCATCATCTTCACCTTTTCTTACCTTTTCATCCTTCGTCATCATCACTATTTCACTGCGATTCATTATCATCATCAACTCAGGACAAACTTTTAACTCCCAGACCATTTTATCATCTTAATATCTTTTAAATTGAGTTTCAATTGTTGATAAATTTTCTCATTTCCAATGCTCATCATTTAATTACTCAAACAAGTGATTTAACTGATTGATCAACTATTAACCTTTAAATTGTTTGTTTCAATTGTGATTTAGTTTGGTTCCCATCAAAAGCAAAACAAATAAGAGAGAGATTAATATCTTGGTAATCATTTCATTATATTCTCGTAATTAATTGTTAATTGTTATTATTTTTTTCTGCATGAATTGTATTATTTTCGTTGTAAATTGTTTGATTAAATTTTCAGTTTCTTTGCGTTCATTTCGATTGATTCATTTTTCTTTTTAAACTTTTTTTCTTTTGCTTGATAATCTTTTTGATTAATTGTTTCTCGAGTTAATTATCGCATGTAAATCGTTGAGCTGACCAAATGTTCGTATCGGAAATGATTATGGACAAAGTGATTAGAATGATGATACATTTATGATCGGATGTTGAAAGCGATACTTAGAATATCATCTTACCTAATCTTCCTCTTTTTCGATTGTTTTTATTTCTTCTCTTTTTCGATCTTCATCCATTTCCACCTCACTTTCTATCTACCACGAGACCAAATGTTCACTTCCTCTCCCACTCTTTCTTTCTCTCTCTCGATTAACTGTACTATCATAACCTCGTTCTTCTCCCGAGCACTTCCGCTGAATGGATCATCATCTTCGTCGGATGATGATAACAAAGTAGCTTAAGAGCATCAGGGAGACTTTTTTATCCACAACATCCTCATCATCTTTATCTGCATCTGCATTTTTATCTTCATCCTTTTTTCTCATCATTTTCACCTCTTGAGACAAAGACCAGTGACAAGATTGATAGAAAGATGATGATCATCATCTCTCTCTCTCTCTGTCATCCTTTCATCTTCCTCTATCATCCTGTATCCTCCTTCTTGTTATGTGTCCATTTTAAAATCATTAATGAAAACTAATTGACATAAGCCATCCCTATGACTTACCTTTAACAATCAACATCTCTAATTGTCATCAGTCAATAGACGAGCTCATTTAATCATCATCATAATCAACTTAATCATTTTCGACTCGATATTTTTTTTTCGCAACAAAAAACAAACTTTTTCTTTGCTTTCTTAATAGTTGATTATTATTTTCATCTATCGATTGATTATCTAAATATGTATATGATTTAATTACAGAAAAGTTCAGGTTTGTCAATTGTGATTGTTTCCTTTTCTTGGATTGAAATTTAATTATCGTTCATTGTGATTAAACAATAATGTTCATTACTAATCATCAGCATCTTTGGTATCAATTTGATTGTACATTTGTTAATCTGTCCGTCTGTCTGTCTTAATTGTTGTTGTTGCCTGTTAATTGTTATAACAATCAATCGTTTCTTTCAATTACACTCATTATATTGTATCTTTAATTGCAATTAATCAAAATGAATGACGAAGATTTCCTTTCGTGCCTTGGATACAATCTTAATGATACAATTACTCCTTGTCCAAGTGATTCTGGGATTGATTTAAATTCAATGGAGTTTGATCTCTGGTCACTTAATTGTCCAACACTTAATCACAACAATCTGACCTTACAAAGGTAAGAAAATTAATAATTATACAAATTATTCACTTTAAATTTAATCAAACATTTAATTAAACTTTGAGCACGTTGATTTGATCCTGTAAAAGTAAAGTTAATATTAAATCAATTGGTTATAATTAGTTAATTATGCAACAAAGTTAAATTAATTTTATGATATCTTGTAATAGATTATTATTATTATTATTATGATAATTTAATCGTGTTTCTTTTTCCTCCCCCTATTTAATTGCCATGATTAAGAATGGAATCAAGTTCATCATTTGTTAAATCAAATGATTACGTTACTGATAATATCTCAATTAAATCACTTCCAATTGAATCAAGTGAAATTTTTCCAGAACCAATGATATCACAATCAAATAGTGTCAACACTAATCAATCAAATGCTAATTACTCTTATGGGAATAATAATATTTACAATACAAATAATTCATCACAATCAGGAGGAGGTTCAGTTGATTTGAATTATTTCAATCAATGTAACGGTTTCACTGTTTCAAAAGTCATGATTACACCTTTATCACCACCACCACCACCTCCCCACCCTCCTCCACTCCCAACAACAACAATGCCATCATCATCATCATCATCATCGACAACCACAACCACAACAACTACAGCAACAACGTCAAATATTGGAATCAACTCTAATCAGCAACTGACCAACAATCAAAACTCAATTAATAGTATTGCATACTCATTCCACAATTCAAATGGATCAATTAATCAGATGAACAATTTACCGAATCATAATATTCACTCATCACAACAACAACAACCACAACAACAACCCCTTATACTCACAATCAGCATCAAATTGTTTCTGATCATCACCATCATTCAAATCATTATCTGACTAGTCATAATCACAATTCAAATCATCATGTTAATAATAACACCAATCATAATCATAGATTTTCAGTGCCACAACCAGCGAGTGGATTATTTCCCACCTCAATGAGTGTTAATTTATCTATGAACATGACCATGGGCTTTGCTACTTCCCCTGTTTCAGCGGAGGCAACAGCAGCCGCTGCCGCAGCTGCGGCTGCTGCAGCGGCATCAAGTCAACCAATTGTTTGGTCAAATACAACAACATCATCACCATCAACATCTCAATCAACTGTAGCTTATGAAATCGGAGGCGGAGTAAATAATCACTTGAACATTTCCACTCCAACAGTAAATCCCAATCAACTAAGAGGCTGTTCAACATTAACTAATTGTTCACCGCTAATTACCAGCAACGGTTTCAACAATTTAACTGGATTCTTTGATAATCCATACAGTCCGACTTACCCAACATCTCCTGGTTCATCATTTCACCACCATCCACCTCCACCACCTCTTCCTCCACCTCTTCCTCCTCCTCCTCCTCCACCGCCTCTTACAACAAATCAACATCCTCATCATCTTCAATATCATCATTCAGATAATTTACTAATTCAAAATCAGCCTGTTCCTCATAATCTTCATCATCCTCATCATCAATCTCAACTGCAACAATTGCACAATATAAATCATCATTTTCACCATCAACCTCACCACAATCAAGACCAACAAGATCCCAATCATAATCATCATCACAACAATCAAATATCAACAATCAATCAAATCTCATCAGATGATAAAAGTTATCAAATTGAAGATATTATTGAAACGACAAATAATCTCAATAATGATTCAATTAACAATCAAAACCATCACAATGATGGAAACAGTAACAATCTTAACGATAACGATGATGTTAAAATTAACTTTAACTCCAATAGTTCAACTACAATCAGATCAATTTCCCCGTTAACTGAACAAACTCAGAATGAGATTAACGATCATCACTCTGATTATTCAAGATACAACAATCATCTAAATCATGATCACAATCATGTTTATCGTCATAAAGGTAAAATTGCCCAGGAATTAGCAGCTCTTCAAGAGATAAGCCAAGAATCAGATGAAACAATTTACTACAAAGAATCATCTCATCATCAACCTCATCTTCACCAACCTCTTCAACAACCTCATCACTATCAACTAATCAACACACTAATCATAATCTAAATAATTCTGGTTCATCTTCACCAAATTTGTGTCGCATTTGCGGCAAAACTTACGCTCGTCCATCCACATTGAAAACTCATCTTCGAACTCATTCTGGTGAAAGACCTTACAGGTAATTAGTAAATTGTCAACAATTAACTAACCTTTTTATAGGTTGATTCAAATTGTTCAGTTCTATTATTATTATAGGTCAGATTGTTTCTTTTATCATTATCGATTCTGTTACAATCTTTTATTATTATTAGTTCATTTTATAGGTTAATTTGATATTGGAAACTAATTTATATCAAACTAATTAATTATCTTCATTGAAAGCTGAATACTAATCAAAGGATGAAAGTTAATTACAAGAGTTTAATTAGTTATCAGTTGAAAAACTTTGATTGTTGAAAAAATTGATCAGATATTTGATTATAATTTAAATCATCTCGACTTTTTAAAAATATAACAACAATTTAGTTAGTAAATTGTAAATATTAATAGTTAGAAATAGATTGTAATTTGATTGAAACTAATTAGAGTGAGAATTGATTATCGTAAATTTATCAATTGGTTGATAGGAATTTGGAATGAAATTTTTCATCTAAATTCATTGATAAGATTAATTAGATTGATCGATTGATGGAATTGATTTTTTTTTCTTATTCTTTTCTTAATTCAGATGTAGCACGTGCCATAAATCCTTTTCTCAGGCCGCTAATCTAACGGCTCATATTCGTACGCACAGCGGTGAGAAACCTTTTCGTTGTCCAGTTTGTGATCGACGATTTTCCCAAAGTTCATCGGTGACAACCCACATGAGAACTCATTCCGGCGAGAGACCTTATCGTTGTGGAAGTTGCCGGAAGGCATTTTCCGATTCGTCGACATTAACTAAACACCTTCGAATTCATTCCGGAGAGAAACCTTATCAATGTAAATTGTGTTTACTGCGATTCTCACAATCAGGTAATCTTAATAGACACATGAGAATTCATACCAACATCACCTAATCAATTAACCATTAACTCTCAACAATTTAACTGTAATTAACTTTTCAAGACAAAACAAATCAACTCCCTGAGTCTGTGTGTTAACCTTTAACTTCATTTTTTTTCTGGTCAATAACAATTAACATTTAATTAATTACCAACAATTAAACTGCTACTAATGCTCCTTTCAATTGTCACAATGATTATTATTTTTCAATCAATTAAATTAACTAATTATTTTAATTCAAATCTTTCAACATGCTTTTAACTGTCTTCTCATCATCGTTGTAAATCAAATTAACTAAATGGTTGAAGTTACAATTAATTATTAATAATTACTTTCGATTAATCAGAAATCTTCAATTCTTATTCAATTTCAACCGATTTGAATTAGAATCAACTAATTGTTATCATTTATTAAGACACTGAATTGATTTACTTTGATTTAATGGTCGATAATTGTTATTAAACTTTAATTGTCGTACGTTTTTTACTTGATTGTTACATTGTAATGATAAATCATGTTGAACAATCAAAATTAATTAAGTGAATGAGTTAACTGTTTAATTAACTGGGCGTTGTTCAACGTTTATTAGGTTAATTATGTTTAATAGTTTATTTTGACGCTTAATTTAGGTTTATCATTGATGATGATTGTGATTATGATCATTGATACAATAATAATAAGATATGGAAACGGATAAATTAATTTTCTGAATAAGGTTAAGGGAAGGAGAGAAAAGAAAGAGAAAAAGAAAGAGGAAGATGAGATGAAGATCAATTTGATCAAATAAGAGTCAAGTTAACAATTTATCAACTAATCAACCTTCCCAATTATCGACTTCCTCATTACCGTCAATTCGGTTGTAATCACAATTAAGGGACAACTTGATTCTAAATATAATTTGGTTCTATCATTTAATCAAAGAGAACTAATTTTTCTCTTTCTTTTTTTACTTTCATTCTTTTTGATGGGAGGATGATTAGGAGATGACCAATTGACTCCCGTTCCGTTAATTTAGTTCAATCAACTAATCTAAGTGATGGAGAGAGAGAGAGAGAGTGAGTGAGTGAGAGATTTAATCATAGTTTAGTATAAATGGATAATCAAGACAAAGTTAACTCTCTGTTCATTTTACGAAATTCAAGTTTCTCAGTTTTTTTTCTGTTCTTTTCTCGAGTTCAATTGTTTCACCAGTTCGAACTGTTTTTTCTTCTTCGAAATGTTCATTTTCTCCGTCGTGACCATTAGGATCTCTCACAATGACCACCACCTCCCTGTTCTAAGTACTAGCGCCGCAGGAGTGTTTACATTAAATGGGTATATTCAATTCACTCCTGCAGCCTTGGTGCTTACTATGGGCCGGTGCAGGGAAATTAGTTAATTGTCGGTGATTCTTTCATTATTCTTAGTGTGATTTTAATGTTCGTCCTTTCGAATTGATCTGATTGTGAAATGTTTTCCAACGGGTAAGTTAATTGTTCATTTGTGTTATTATTAATTAGCTTTAAGCTTACCCGAATTGTTGATTGGACAATTTAAAAGAAATGCTTTTAATCAAATAACAATTTGAGTCGATAAGTTAATTGTTTGGATGGACAAGTTTTCTTATTGAAATTTTTATCACAAATAAATAAGCTGAGATTGAGAATAAAATTTGATTGTTGAATAAAAAGTAACAATTAAAATAAACTTCCAAATATTTAACATGTAAGATTATGAAGTTAGAGTTGATTTTCATTCTGTAAGTTAATTGTCATAAATTTACTTTTGATTAATCAATGGGTTAATTCTGGTGACTAATGGAACTTGAAATGATTTGATTTTGTGAAGATTTTGGCACCACTATTTTTTCCTCTCAAGTGTCATTTTCGCAAGTTCGATTAGCGCCCTTTTCTCCGGGCAATCGATAAATGGATCAATGTATCTTAGAGCTTCGTCTGCATGTTGTTTGGCCAGAATTCTGGTTGATTGTAGTCCATCGGATTCCATGACAAAGGCATAAGCGGCCTGGACATCATTGGGTTCACAGAATCGTCGTTCTATCATCACATTCAATTGGGGAAACTTTTCACTCGCAAACAAAACTGGAGCCGTGGCGAGGCCCAGCCTCAGATCGGCTGCCGCTGGTTTCCCGAGTTCCGATTGACTGGAAACAAAATCCAAAAGATCGTCCACCAATTGAAAAGCTATTCCCAAGTTTCGGCCATACTGAAAAGCGGCTTCTTGGCAACGCGTGTCTGCCCCCGAAAGCAGCGCAACAGCTTTACAAGTGTACGCAATCAGCGAAGCTGTTTTTTTGAAGCTCTTGTGAATGTAGTCACTGAATCTCTCGAGAATCGTCTTCTTTCCTTTTGATCCCATTTGCATGAATTCACCTTGAACCAGGTCAAGCAGCACTTGAGAAAGGAC